CGACTCCGTGGAACGCGCGTCTGGGGGAGCGGCTGCGGGATTGCTTACCATTGATGAGTGTGTCGAGAATGTACTTCCTGTCCTTCTCCACCAGGTAGTTGATGTAGCCGAAGATACCGCTGCAGACGCCGTCGTTAGCCCGTGTCCAGAGCCTCGCTGTAGCTGCCACAGCTTCACATAGTGGGGCGGCGGGGACTTACCACATGGCGACGAAACGAAAGTAGGGTGCTGAATATGAATGGAAGCGATTGTAAGGCAGTCGGAGTCAATTGGGCGAGTGCAAGAAAGTAGGGTGCGGGGGGAAGCAGACAGGTGTGTGAGCAGAGAAAGAGCGGTGGTGTGTTTGACTTATATCTTCCAGGGCCAAGCACTGAGCATGCCCCAGCGACGCCCTTCTCCACCCGGCCTGGCTAGCCTCGCCAATGCAGCGTATCGCACCCGTCTGTGACGCCGCTCTACCACCCTTGAATCTCGCCCTCGCAGCCCTGCGACCCTCTGCCACGCCCTCCCTCACTGTCCCCTATTTCGTCATGTCTCGCGGAATCATCCTGGTCCATCGGCTTCCGCGATGCTGCCAGCCAATAGCCCCCGCTGCTGTTCCTGACCTGATCGCCCGCTATCCATCGTTTCTCAGGGACCAAGAGGCGCAGCACCTCCAAAATAGCAACGCTAGGCCCGTTCCTCGACTATTTTCATGTCAAGATGCCAGAAATCTTCTCTTCGCAATGCTACACCGCGGCCACTATGCCACTCGCGTCCTGACGGGCGCCGCATTCGCCGCATGCGAGGCCTCAAGCTCGCCCAAAGACTGTGCTTATGGAGAGGTTTCTAATTCTGCTGCATCGTCCAATATCTTGGATCCGCTACGTCAGCGCGGGTACGGCTCCGAATTGGGAAGCCAGCGCCGTGCGTCACGACTTGACATCTCGTGTAAACTCTGTTTGGTGATCTTCTGCTGATATGGTCGACAGCTTGGAGAAAACCGATATGCCAAAACAAATCATGGCAGATGGGTGGAACCCAGTCGCTAGCTGCACCAACCGTCCCACTAACGGCGCAGGTTTACCCGCAATGTGCTCCCCACCGTGTGCAGTATTGTCTGAATCAGACGGTGAGAAGCAATATCGTCTGGCCCTGCAGGTCTGCATTTCACGCATGAGCGCCAACAACGCACACCTCACAGGAGCCAGAGAATGTTTTCAACCCGTTGTGGCCGACGCTGCCAACGAATCACGCACTGGAACCACAAACGTGGAAGATAGAGCTGAGACTTCGGGGCGTGTACGTCTGCTCAACTGCATCTGAAGTCGAACAACGGTGAGCACCTTGTAGCTACTGCGCGCTTGTTCCGCTCTGGCGAAAAGCTTAGTCTACCTTTCTGCAGGTGTGAGCTCGACTATAGGAAAGCGTGCCGACAAGAACCTTTGGCCTGCGTCCGTTGGGAACATCTGGATGCCTTAGCAGTTCGATTGTCTTGACCGCCTCTAAATTGCCATCCATACCACAAACACGGCATCTGAAACCCCACCGTAAGTGGCGTATACGAACATCAGCCGCACATGCACGCCTTGACAACAGTCGTGCCGTTGCATTCGTGCCGACTCCTCATTCCGGTCTTTCCGCGCCCTGCATGTACTTCGTATCCTACTCGCCAAAGGTTGCACCAGTATTGTATCGTCTCGTATCGCGGCCCTGGTCAGCAGCTAGGTATCCCCGCTGCATCTTCGGAGAAATAAACACACCATTTGCCTCACCCCGTTTCAGATGCTGCTTGCCGTTTTAAGGACACATCACAGCATTGAACACACCCAAGCACATATGCAACGTTTTCACACTTATGTCACAGTGCAGTTGACATTGAAAAGCAAAAAGAGAGACTAGTCAAGTTCTACAATGATTCAACTATGTGAGAGCTCGAGCCTAGCCGCTTCTACTCATCGAACATGCACGTGGACTAGACCGCGAAAAAGTGCGCCCGAACCCAAACCTGCCTAGCGTAACTTCTATGATGAGAGATAACCAAAGATGAGTGCTGATGTACATCGCTGAAATGCTACATGCAATGTAAAACGAGAAATAAGGTAATTTGCGATTGGGAACCGTCGACTACCGGCTGTCACAGTAGCCGGGAGCCTTGGGAGCACCTCCGTGGATCCAGCTCTGGACAGTGAGAGTTGTGGTATATACCATGCCAACCGCCCCGATGATGCAAAGCAGTACATCCAATACACGTGCAGTGGTTGTGCGTGCGACAGCCCGGTAATGGAGCAAGGGCTACGTATTGTTAGCAATGAGCAAGTCACAGGAAGATGTGTGCTTACAGGATAGATGAAGACCAGCGGGATGCAGGCAAAGCTTCCTACCAGACTGACAAACTTGTCCAAGTCACCCGCACCAGCCCAAGCAAGGCAAGCGCACACCAAGACCATGAAGAATCGGAAGAAGTTCTTCTTCCACTTGACGTACGGGTTGTACTTGCCTGTCCTACTGAACAACTGCTGGCTGGTAATCTCGATTGCCGGGTAGATCTGTAGTGGCGTAGATAGCAAGATAGCGAGCGAGTAGATAAACTGAACGCCGTTGACGAATCTGTTATCCTGGGGCATGTTGAGAAGTACCACAGTCTTCGTCTTGGATCCAAACGCTGCGTACGAGAGGGCTCCAGCGCTGAGGAAGATGACAGTGATGATGATCATGACACCTCCCAGGACCTTGGGAAACTTCTTCGGGTCTTTCATGCCGGTCTGGATAGGGATGATGAGACCGATGCCTTCGAATGTGAAGATGGCGGTACCGATGAAGAGCGTCCAGTCTTTGGCGTTGAAGTTGACGATGTCGGAGATACCGCCCTGGTCAACGATGGTGAAGAGATCGTAGTAGTATAGGTATACGAGACCCATGAGGATGAAGAGATCTGCCACCAATGCGAGCTTCTGAATGTTGTTGATGTTGCGGTAGAGCGACAACGGCAAGAAGATGACCATCTGCATCATGATCATGTACTTGATGTCGATGAAGGTCTTGCAGTTGGATACTGCAAGAACAAAGGCTTGCAGGTTCTCAGACACAAAGACGATGTAGGCAGATGAGAAGCCGATCTGGGATATGACAAGCGAAGAGTTGATCATGTTGCGCATCCAGTTTCCGTAGAGATGAAAGCCCATGTCACCGAACGAGTGCTCTACTACGAGCCGGGTGGAGACAAGCAAGACAAAGCAGGCATACGAGAGACCCGCGACACCAAGGAGTACCACATTGGAAAAGAGCATGCCGCCGTTAAGGAAGGCTCGGGGCAGGAACAAGACACCAGTGCCAACAAACGACTTGAGGAGCAGCATGGCTGCACCTGTGGGGCTGCCGGTGCCGGTTTTCTTCGCTTTGCGCTTTCTTCGCTTGCCAGGGGTGAGCAGTGCGCTCGACTCGCCGTACTCGCGGTCTTCGTCTTCGCTCTGCGCGCCGGAATCCAGAGCATCGGAGGAGAAGTATTCGTCCGGTCCCAACACCTCGTCGTCTTCTTCGAGAGATTCACCGGCGAAGTGGCCATATAACGTGAGGAACTCCAAGAAGTTGCTGGTAAAGACCTGCGGCGGTGGGCGCGCCTGTCGGACTGTTCCATAGCCAGACGGGCCTGGGCCGGGTGAGGGACTCCCAGCGGCTCTGCGTAAGTAGTTTCGTCTGAAGCCACCAGGCTGGCGAATGGAGTCGATGTCGAGTGCTTCGTCTTCAGGACGACGTCGCGAACCGTGGAAGCTCTTGCTGCGCTGCAACTTGCCCTGCTCTTCCGCCGCCTGCTGCTCGCTCCACCTGTAAATCTGTCGCGTGATGTCGCCGCCCTGGAGTTGCAAGCTCGAAAACTGCTCCTCGTCTTCCTCGGGCCTCGTTCCAGTTGATTGGGCATCGTCATCGCCTATTCTTCCACGATTTGACCTGCTTGGTGAGGCATAGTGGCCTACCAGATGCCGGCGCACGATCTCGGGGTCTTCATACGGCACAGGCGAGCGACCGCGGCCGTCAAAGGAACCGTAGTTGCTAGGCGGGCCACGAGGAGGCGCGTCTTGGGCGGGGGACAGTGGGCGTATTGGAGGTGTGCCGAACCGTGGGGGTGAATTGCCCAGTGACTCTTTCAGCGCTGAAGAAAGGTTCGACTCGGCTGGGCCGGGCAGCGACGACTGCGGATCTGCGCGTCCAGGCAGCGGTGTCTGTATCGACGACGAGTTTGCCGTCTGGGTCTGGGAGGGTGTTGGTATTTGGCGCACGGCAGGCGTGCCGTTGGGAAGGGAAGGAACGGGTGAGCCCCGTCGCGCGATAGAGCCTGCACGAACAGACTGCGTATCGGGAGAACTTCGTCGAGAATCTCGCGACGACGGCACCGCCTGTGGGTTCGTCGATGTCGAACGCTCACCCGACATGTTGGGCTGCGTGTGTGGTGTTGTGGAGCCGCAGTGAACTCTGTGATAAGAAACGCGAGCTTCGGCTACCTGCGTCTAACGTCGCAAAGGGAATGCTGAGCGATAAAACACGCTACGGGTAGTTATATGGATGGCGTGGCCAGTGGACACATACCGCGAGGCTTCGAGATGCTACGCGTAATGTACAGCAGCAAGAGGGAGACGCGCAGAAGAAGCAAGGAAAGCTGAGTCGGGCTGCTTCGAGGCCTGTGCCGAGAGGTTGAGGTCATCCGTCGATTCGCCGGAGAGATGTGGCGCCCCACGCGCGGGATGACCATGTCACACCGTTGGAAGCCCTGCATCTTTCCACCGAGAAGCGAGCGCTAAGCCGCCAAGTGAAGCATAGCAGAAGACTTTACTGTTCGCGATGTAGATGCGGCGTCATCGCTCCTCGGATGTGTTGCCCTGTCGTTGCTCTCAGCTGTTCTGTCCATGTCTCGCTCCTACACCTCACCATCTAACGCTCATCGGCGCATCCCGTGCACGGCCTGACCGGAGCCGCAGTGACACCCCGTGCCACGAACATTGAACCAGGTTCCCGATGCAGAGACCATGACGAATGCGGACGACGACCAGACGACCAGGCTTACCCTGCCGCGGACACGCTCCAACTTTGCAACCCGTACAGCACGAGATGAGAGTGCGCGACTGCATCGACGCTCGTTCGTACAGCATTCACCACCACCTGACGAGGAAACACCGCTTCTGCCAAGCAGTGGACGCCAGCTTCCAGCTGATGCAGATGCCTACGATGGCGCTCAAGGGACGGGGAGCAAGCAGAGAGGGATGAGCAGCTGGTTCTCGAGCATCCTCCGGACGTCACGATCCAATTTAGCGAAGGAGCCAAATAATGACGGCAAACGACACTCAGTCAGCGAAACCACCAAACCAAGGCCTGGTGCTTTCCCCAGACCCGTTGGAGGTACCGACAAACTAGGCACTTTCGCTGGAGTTTTCGTACCGGTAACCCTCAATGTCTTGTCGATTTTGATGTTTCTCAGATTCGGCTTCCTTCTGGGTCAAGCTGGCTTGATTGGCATGATGGGTATGCTGATAGCAGCTTATGCCATCAATCTCTTAACTACGTTGAGTATTTCCGCTGTTGCCACCAATGGCACGGTTAGAGGAGGAGGCGCGTACTACTTGATCTCCCGCAGCCTGGGGCCAGAGTTCGGCGGATCGATAGGCATCGTCTACTATCTTGGCTCAGTCTTCAACACCTCGCTCAACGCTGTCGGTCTCATCGACTGTCTTATCGAGAACTTCGGTAGCAATGGAGGTGACATGGCAGAGTGGCTACCTCAAAGCTACTGGTGGCAGTTCCTCTGGGCTACCTTGGTTCTAGCCGCGTGCACACTTATCTGCCTTGCTGGAAGTGGGCTCTTCGCACGCTGCAGTAACGGCCTACTTCTAGTCTTGTTGGTCGCGACTATCAGTATTCCTCTGTCCGCTGTGTTCAGGCCTCCGTTCGAGAACCCAAAAGAAGACATTGTTTTCACAGGCCTCAGCATGGACACGTTCCGTCAGAACTTACTACCCCACTTCACGCGAGGAGCCGCGGGAAGTGTCGATCATCACCGAGAGAACTTCCAAGATCTCTTTGGTATTCTATTCCCAGCTACGGGAGGAATTCTGGCCGGTGCAAGCATGAGTGGCGACCTCAAGCACCCAAGTAAAGCCATCCCGAAAGGGACCTTGTACGGCATAGGTCTGACCTTCATTCTTTACACACTCGTTATCTTCGCTATGGCGGCGTCAATAGCACGCGAAACTTTCTACAATAACACAAATGTCATCCAGCTGACCAACATATCTGGCGCGGTCGTGCTTGCTGGCGAGATGGCGACATCCTTATTCTCGGTACTCATGGGTGTTATTGGTTCAGCCAAGCTCCTCCAGGCTCTTTCTCGCGACAATCTTATTCCTGGACTTTCGATCTTTGGACAGGGCACGAAGAAATCTGATGAGGTAGGATGTCTACAGTCATATTTGCTATGTCTAAACTAACCACGTAGCTTCATTCGCACAGCCGATCTACGCCATCATCATCACTTTTATCATCGCTCAAATCACAATGTTTGCCGACATCAATCAGATTGCTTCATTCATCACAATGACAGTAAGTGCTCCCTATTACTCTACCAGTCGTCAGCCGAACTCTACCTGTTTAAATCCTAACATTCTCTAGTATCTCATGACATTTCTCGTTACCAACTTGGCCTGTTTCTTACTCAAGATCGGTTCTGCCCCAAACTTCCGGCCCTCCTTCCACTACTTCAACTGGCCCACAGCTGCTGTTGGGACGGTTGTCTGTGGAGGTACCATGTTCTTCGTCGACGGCTTCTATGCATCTGGATGTGTAGCTCTGCTCATGATTATCTTCCTGCTGATTCACTACACTACCCCACCTAAGCCATGGGGTGATGTGAGTCAGGGTCTCATCTATCACCAAGTGCGAAAGTACCTGCTGCGCTTGCGTCAAGAGCATGTCAAGTTCTGGAGACCCCAGATCTTACTCTTGGTCAATGATCCGCGGCGGCAGTATAAATTGATCCAATTCTGCAATTCGCTGAAGAAGGGAGGTCTCTTCGTACTTGGGCACGTCATTGTCTCTGATGACTTCGGGGAAGCTGTGCCAGAAGCAAGACGACAACAGCAGTCTTGGACAAAGTATATCGACTTCTCCAGGATCAAAGCGTTCGTGAACATCTCTATATCTCCTGCCGTCGAGTGGGGCGCTCGCAACCTTGTTCTGGGTGCAGGGCTAGGTGGTATGCGGCCAAACATAGTTGTCATGGGCTTCTATAACCTACCCGAGATGAGGCAAGCGCAGCCTTCCATTGGCATACCTTCGCCCCAACCATCACGCCCATCCAGCAAAGCTACGAACCATCCCATCTCTCGGAAAGCAATCCAAGCAGCAGCCAGGCGACGCGTCACAGGAAACACCCATAGCATGCTTCCCACCGATGCTATGAAACCAGAAAACGCAATTGCTATACGCAGTTATGTCACTGTTATCGAAGACCTGATTCTCCGGTTGCAAGCAAATGTCGCTATAGGCAAGGGGTTCCAGGAACTCGAGGTGCCCCCTACCAAGCCTACGGTGAAACAAAAAGCGTTCAGCTTCATTGGTCTTAATGACATTGATATCGAGGATTCGTCAAAGATGTACATTGATCTCTGGCCGATTCAAATGTCAGCCGAGGTCGCTACTACTGGCGATGAGCCAATCCGCAAGAATGTACTGACCACGAATTTCGACACGTATACACTCATCCTGCAGCTTGGATGCATCTTACACACGGTACCGTCTTGGAAGCGCATGTACAAGTTGAGAGTCTGTGTTTTTGTGGAGTATGAGACGGACGTCGAGGAAGAGCGAAGTCGCGTTACTACATTGCTGCGTAATCTGCGCATTGAGGCTGAAGTCCACGTCTTCTGGTTGTCCTCCGGAGATTTGAGCATGTATGAAGTCATCATCAACGGAAGAGATGATGGTCACCTTGATCAGACTGGTCGTGATATCGATTACTCGCTGGAAGACGAGCGATGGTGGCAAGACATCAAACGACTGCGTCAGCCCGAGAGTTTGAGTGCGAGCCAGGAACTAGCACAGACTGTCGATATTCTTGAAGCCGTCACCAGTTGGCCTATTGCCTCGTTCCAACATGGTAGGCAAGAGACGAACCCAAAGCGCTTCTCAGCCCTGCGCAAGATGCTACGTAAAGCAAAAAGTAGAACGTCTGTTGGCAATCTTGGGGACGGGGCAAGGGCCAAAATGCAAAGCCAAAGAATACCAGTCCAGCTACTTGAAGACAGCGATAGCGACACTCAACCATCCTCAGCCGGCGGAAGGGAAGACGATGCTGATGACGAAGCAATGGCTTCTGATAGCGAGGCAGTCGTTAGTGGCAGCAACTTCGACGAATACGACTTGGATGCATCGAGTGATGAGAGTGATCAGAACGGGCAGAGAATGTCACTAAGAAGACGCAAAACGGCACCCAGCACCTCTTTCTTCACCAGGCAGCTGGATCTCCGTAAGACCATTTGGAAAAGTTCACGGAAGGACAGTACCTCGCAGAAAGATGACCGGCCGACCACACAGTCGGTGACACCGCTCAAACCGCACCCAGACGCCGTTGCCTCTGACACAGCTATTCTTCACGCCGGAGAGCGAGCCCAGCCCCGAAGTGTAGCCAGTTCATCCTCTCAGCGCTCTGGATCCTCACGAGCCGCTGTCAAACCGCCTACAATGCGTCGGCAGTCACTGCCCAAGTTCACATCGAATCCAACTCCCCGAACAGCGATATCATCGGAAGAAACGGCCGGCCCATCGATAACATTCGTCGATACGCCCAAACCAGCAACAGCCAACAAACAAGATCCCATTGTGACATCTGGGGAGCCCTCTCAACTCGCCGCAGAGAATACACCAGCAAATTCCAGTCCCCACTCAGCCGCAGCATCGTCTCACCAACCTACGGACACGGGTACGGCCTCCCCAGCTTCCGGATTTCCTGCCCAACAAGCCATCCCTCTCTCCTTCAACGACCTACCGTGTCGCGCTCAACATCTTATCCTGAATGAGCTTATACGAAAACACTCTGATGAAACGGCAGTTGTGTTTACTACGCTTCCTAGTCCTATGGAGGGTACTTGTGAAAGTGAGGCAGAGAGTGTCAAATACATTAGCGATTTGGAGGTCCTATGCCAAGGCTTACCGCCGGTGCTGTTGGTGCATAGTAATAGTATGACCGTCACTATGAATTTGTAGAAAGACCAGAGTTTGAAGAGAGAGGTAGAACGGAAGTTGTATAATTTAGACAAGCATCGAGACGCTAGTAGATCGCATTCCATGAACTTGATACGTAATAATGAAGTCGCAAGAACGAGGTGGTGGTATCATGAATGCTACAACTTGAAGGCTGAACTACTCGCTATCATCCTCGCTACTCGACATCTCTGCGTCTTTCTCAACGACGTCTTCTTCTTCTTCATCCGGCTTGCCTGTCATGGAGAAAGCCTTCAGACACGTAATCCTGGTACCAGTCGAAGAGGTTCCAAGCAGCTTGCCGACCTGCGCCGCTGTAAAACCCTCCGCCTTGCCTGCATCATCGCTCCTCAGCTCTTCCGTGCTCAGTGACCAGAAGCGCACTGTGCCATCGCTGCTACCAGTGACGATGAGGAAATTTGTTTGCGAGAGCTGGACGATTTCAAAGTCCTTGACACGGCCTGTCATGCCTGCTGCTGGGCCACCGATTTGAGCGACTAATCTGCTAGCAGGAACCTCGTCTTTGTTCTTTTCTGACGATTCAGTCGGTATCGTGGTGTTGGTGTCGAAGAGAAGAACGCGGCCATCCTCGGTTGAGACGAGTAGCGTGCCCGGATGCGACTCCGACGGCAAGTAGTGCATTTGATGGATCTTAGTCCTCGGGGTCGGTGCAATCTTTGCTTTCGGCTTGGATTCGATGTTGAAAACGACGATGCCGCGCTCGAAGCCCACTGCGAACTCCTCGCCTTCCTTGTCCCATATGACTCGTCTTCCCTCACCGGATGCGAAGCGCCCTTCGCCTACGGCGGTGAGGATGTTGCGGTCAAAGTTGAGCACGCCGGCTTTCTTTCCTGTTACGAGGTTCCAGAGTCGCATGCACTTTTCGCCTTTGCCTACGCTCAGCATGAGCTTCATGCTAGGGTGGACGGCGAAATCATTAATTCCAGAGGGTACTTCACCGGGTCCGGCTGTGTCTCCACTGGGTCGGCCTTGGGGCTTCGGTATTGGCGCTTTGATGGTTGAGAGGGCAGTCCAATCGCGTGTTCTCGTGATGGCGATAGTGCTGTCTTCCGCGGAGCTGAGGAGCTTACTCCTGGTTGGGAAGTAGAGGGCTGTGATGTTTGACGAGTGGTGAAGCAATGAGCCGAGTTCCTTGTTCTTGGGATTCTCAGTAATGGAGCCGCCATGGAGAGAAGGCAGCTTTGGTCTGAGTTTTGAGGCGACTGGGGGGGCGGTCGAGATGGAGTAAAGGTTGATGCGCTCATCGGTGCTGCCTGTAGCTAACGTGATTTTGGACGTCTCATTCGAGAGCGGAGACAGGGTAAGACAGCGGATGGAGGATGAATGGGCGTTGAAAAGAAATGTGTCGGTAAAATCTACTTTTGGCCTGTCCGTCTCAGGTGTCGATGCATCATCCTGTCCGGTGAAGAGACTGCTGGGGATGGATGCCGCGAATCCATGCAGAACTCTCTCGTAGGAGCCGGTTATGACTTGCACAGTCGTGACATCTGGGACGGAATCTTCGCTTTTTGCAGTGGAATCGATCTGGAGTTTGCTCATGCTCAGGTCCATCTTCCCGTTGGCTGCACCTTCCTTGCCATTGCGGATCGCCGTTTCCTTGGTCGCCGGCTGTTTTGTGGTGGAGGCAGCAGCGCCCTTGGAGCTCTTCAGCGCCTTCGCCTTGGCGGCGGTCTCGGCGGTCTCTCTCTTTCTCTTTGCCATTGTCGATAACTCGTCGTTGTTTCGCGCAGCCGTCGCGTCTTGCGATCCAGAAGTTTTTGATGCAGACGGCAGGGCTAGGCCGGGTGGAGTAAGGCGCAGCTAGTGTCCCAAGGTTGGCCCAATGAACCAGGCTAGGCAGGGCTTATCACGGCCATCCCTGCAATGCGGCGTGAGCAGCCCTTCCCTCACGTTCTCGCAGTCCCGCCCATCAGTCCAGCATATCGCAAAACACATTTCCATCAACCAACGCGACCACCAACCCCGATAATTCATCACAACGGCGGCACTCGTGGATAACGGATGTCGGCCACCGTTCGTCGGTCTTCATATGTCCCTCGACAGTTTACGGGAAACCTTACGCCAGGAGAAGACAAATGAAGCCGCGTAAGTCAAAGTCCACGACTATCCATCGCGTTTGCAATTTGGCCGATGGAATCGACTAAATGCATCGATGCGACAAGGAAAAATCGCTCGTTTTAGTTTATTTGCGTGTTGTGGTGGTGCTAATTCAATGTCCCCAGATTCACATCCGCGACGTTGGAGCGCCATCTCCGGGCACTCTGGAAGGTCACGGGCTGCTGCAATGCCGCTCTGAACGGCCACCAGCCCGTAGCAGACGACTTCGTCTATGGCGAACCTGACGAAGAGGAACGTCGTTTTCTCGACCAAAACGACATCTCACAGTAAGATCCCTCCTGTCCCTAGTACCATGCACCTACTCGTCGCCAATGTTCACGTTGTCGTCGTTCCACTCTGCTAACACGGTCGCGTCTCTAGAGGTCGACGCTTCAACGATGCAACGCTGCCCTTCCCAGTGGCCGTTACTGACCATCAGCCACCACTCCCTGCTACCCTACCCTTCCAGAATCCAACCAAGACCTTTACCAAGCCGTCGCCATCCCCCGCCGTCGGCACCCCAAGCCTCGAAGAGCAACTTCGTGCAGCCTCAGCTTCGCCGTCCGTTGCGACGCAAACATTACCCTCAGTCGAGTCGTCATTACAAAGCGACGTTATCCACGTTGTCCCTCGCGTAAAGGCTGCCTCACATGCTGCATCGCCCACTACAGAGAATGAGGTAGCAAACAATGCCCAACCCGACGCGACCCTTGCTGTCCAGGCTCCAGGCAATCAAGAACATTCCCCTACCGACAAAACTACGGTCGACCCAAGTGCTGTTGCATCCCCGACGGCCGACGACACGAACGCTGCTACGCTCCCTGACGGATCTTCGTCGAGTGCCACCACGGACGCCAAACCGAAGCCACCACAGGTCGTTCATCTACCACCAAAAGAAGTTCAAGAGGCCAGACTGCAGGAGACGGAGCGAAAATTGGACAAAGCTGCCGAGAAGGAGCGAAGAGAAGAGGAACGGCTTACCATCCCACCCACGAATGCGCCCGTCGACGTTTCTTCCCCGTCATCGACCGTCGGGCCCTACTCCCAAGCAACACCGCACGCGCAACACCATTCGCCTGATACCAGTCCTGATTCGGAGACTTACAGGGAGCGCAACAACGTCCCGTTGCCAAACGACGATGTCCTCGACCCCGCCGCGCAGCAAGTCAAGGATGACCACGAGCGTGCTCTGCACAAACGAATGAAAGAAGCAAGAGAGAACGCCCGAGCAAGAGAAGATGACTCCCCTACACCAGACATCGAGCAACAGATCGAAGACGAACAGGCGATACGGTTGGCGCGCGATGGGAAGAGTCGTCTGAGCGAGTCCCAGCCCTCCGGGGACGTACATTCGTTGACGGAGGGTGTGGACGGCGGTTACCGTGCGGCAAAAACAGAAGAAGAAGACTCGATCGGAACAAAGACTGTTCATGATGTTGCCATTGACTCTTTACCGACTCCAACGACCGTTGCCGCGGAGCCTTCGACTGTGGACCGCGACAATGCCGACCAAGCCATCGACCACCAACAGGCCTCTCCTACCGCCGACCATCCCACACCTCCCGCTGACATCGATATTGAAATGCGCGACGTACCATCCCTGGATGCACAAACAACGACCTCGCCCCAACATCCAACATCCCGTCCCGGGCGTATGACTACCCGCGTCGCCTCTGGAGCAATACGACAGAAATCTGTCTCTGAAATTATAGCTGAGAAGGCAGGACCGAAAGCCATACCAACCCCCCGCTCAAGTAATCATTCGGCATCTACAAGTCCTCCAAGACCAAGAACAGCTCGCAATAAGTCACAAGAAGTCTCGACCGTCGTATTCGCCAAGAAGACACCGACACGGGCATCGAAAGCCCTGCAATCGTACAACGAAGATTATGCGTCGCTCCAAGGTGCTTCGGAAGATTCGAGCCGAGATTATCTAGAGGGTCTTTTCAAGTACCAGGCTCACCACCCGCCTAGGTCTGTACCTCTGCAGGAACTTGTAGCATCTGCAAGGAAGACGGTGTCGACGGCTGGTACGCTTGCGATGATTCGTGAACATCAAGACTACAAGATTTTGAAGAGAGTGTACCAGTTGCAGAATGCCAACCGATGGTCCTTGAGGCAACTTCAGAAAGCCGTCGAACCTGAGCGTCCATTTACCCACCAGGATCAAGTGCTTCTCGACATGAAATGGATGCACACAGACTTCAAGGAAGAGAGGAAATGGAAGAAAGCACTTGCCGCTACTTTTGCGGAATGGTGTGCCGAGTACGTGGCCAGTACACCTGAAGAACGATCAACGCTACGGGTCAATGCATGCATTCCAAAGTCGGCTAGGCGTGCGAGCAACGACGAGGAGATGAATGATGCTCCTACGCCAGAGCTTGTCCACTCGAGTACGCACGAGACGGAGAGTGAGTCATACGGTGATGAGGACGATGTACTTACTCCCGTCAACGCCAGCCCCCCTACAGGTCTATTCTCACTAGGCTTCAACGACGTGGTCATGAAGATCGACCGCACACCTGCCAGTGATACTATGTTCCGGGAACTGCCTCTTTACGACCCGATGTTCGAGGGCTCCAGCGACACCAACCCGTTCTCTCTCTCAGAGCCACCCATCCTTCCCGTTTCCAAGTTCGTCACTGGAAAGCTGGTCTCGCAAATACGAGGGCCACCCAAGAAGCGTAGCAGGTATGACTATGACTCTGAAGACGAGCCGTCTTCGCCGCCTAGTCGATCTGGTACGTCAGCCGAACATTCAATGCCATCCACACCAGGTCGACGCCTATTCTGTCGCAACGACTTACCGCCGGAAATGACCAATGTCGCCTTATTCAACGCGGAGAACAAGCATGTTCGCGACCGACTTCAGGCTGCCCATCAAT